ATTTCCTCCACTTCTGTGGTAGTTACATAATCTGTTGTCAATTTGAGGTTTAAGAGTGAAGGAGTGGCGTTTAGCCTGTCAGTCAGCTTAATGACCTCATTTGGAGACACTAAGGAGATAGATAGCTTGTGGGAGGCAGGACACAAGCTTACTCGCTAGGAGACATTGCAGCTGACAAGACACTTGGATACAGCCAGAGCCTCAGAGCTGGAGAAGCCACGTGGAGATCCCTGCCAGCGCTGAGATGCTTACACCACCACTGGATTCACAAGACTTCCCACCCACCGGCCTGTCATCTTCCTGTATTCAGTGTCACTGCATGTGCTTCATGAGTCTGAAGAGGACTTCATAGATTGGTATCAGACATATGGGCTAATATTGGACTTCTGGACTTGATCTGGACTGGGCTGAGGTATTTTCTTAATGTACAATTACTCTCTACATAAAGCTCTTTCTTTTATACATATGTGTCTCCCTGGAGTTGTTTCTCTAGTCTACCCAGACTAATACAACTTACCATTCTGGTCTTCGTTTTACCTTGTTAATCTTGTTAGACCAACAGCATATATTCATTTGTATAATTAAGATCGTTTGATGCATGAAATCCAAGATAGATAAACCCTTCAGAGCTAATAACCAGAGTAAAGATTGCCTGAGGGCATGGGAAGAGGGTGTGGAGGGGGGAGGGGGAACTGATAGCAATGATGACTGTAACCCACTCGAGGGGAATGGATAACAGAATGGTAGGTGAACAGATACATTGGATGGTGGAAGATATGGCAAAAAAATAAATAATAATAATACATAATATAATAAGGATTCCTGGGGGGTCATAGAGGAGAGGAAGGGAGGGGATAAAGGGGAGCTGATAGCAAAAAATTCAAAAAGAAAATGTTTTGAAAATGATGGTGGCAGCAATTATACAACTATGCATAAGCTAATTGAATTATGGATTGTCGTAAAATCTGTAAGAATTCCCAATAAAATTTAAAAAAGGGGGAAAATGTGTCATTGAGTTGACTCATGGTGACTCCATGTTTTATTGAGTAGAATTTTTCCTTTATGATTTTCAAGTCTGTACCATTTTGGAAGAATATTGCTCAGTTTTTATTCCAAGACGCTTCTGGGGAGGTTTGAATTGCAAAGATTTTAGCTTATTCATTTGCACCACCCACTGATTGACAGAAAGTGGCTTAAAACCAACCAAATACCATATTGAATTCTGTAATCTAGCAAATCATTCTTTCAGAAGGAACAGGATTCCTCTAGGGATTGAAAAACAGAAGTAATAAATAGCAGTTTCATTTTAGCATCATTTGTTACCATTTATGTCCCTCCACCTTCACTTCAAAAAGTAATCCTTGTGGTGCCTGATAACCAAAGGCTGATGTTCATGGTTTGGAAAGTTTATCCATGGGAGATCTACTTCCATAAAAATTACCAACTAGAACACTCTATGAAGCAGTTCAACGCTCAAATGGGTTAGATTGTGTTACGCTGTTAGTGGCAAGGTTGGCAGATGAAACTCTATAACAGAAAGATGAGGCTGTGCGTTCCTGTAAAGATTTCTACTAGTAGAAATGCTAGCTGAGGTTGCTATGAGTCAGCAGACACTTGATGGCAATGGTTTTGTTGGTCAGGATCACAACTTAAGATACACTTAGCTGAAAAGGAAAGATGCTTTGAAGGGTTTTAAATAGAGAAAGAATCGTAAGATTTTAGTGTATTTGGGTTATATACTGGCCAGAATGTCATCTCAATGTATAGTTTATGAGAAGTTTTGTGGCTCTATACTGTATAGTAAAAGAAAGAACTCCAGTCTGGGGAATTTGACCCCTTTGCAGTAGTAGTGTCAACGTTTTCTCTGCAGTGGGGGTACAGAGGCTGTGTGTGCAGCAGAAGGATTTTATCTAAATGCACATGAAGTTAGTTCAGGGAACTTCCTAACCTCTTCGGTTCACTTTATAATTCCATATTCAAAAAAAATATGCTGGAATGGAAAATTAGTTCACAGCTGGACAAGTCAAGTAGCCTGTGTAGTAACATGAAACTTCTTAACATGGCTCTTATATCCACAATTACTTTCGTAACCTATTGTAAATGCTGGCTCTATACCTGTGCTTCGATCCCACTTGGAGAGAGTCCTCCATTATGTTAATGGACAAGCATAAGGGACGATATCTTCTAAGATTCCACCTAACCGGAGTGTGACTCAATCACCACTCCTAATTTGTGGGTATGATATGCTGAATGACGAAATCCACATCTCCGTCAAGTCATTCCTCTGTGTCTCAAAAAAAAGCCATCTTAGAAGCAGAATGAGGGGAATCCTGAAGCCAACAAGGAAAAAAAAATCACCAGGAGAACATGTTTGAGATCATTGCCGAAAATGGATTCTGAGACCGCGGCATTAGAGGTCATAACATGGAGACCATGGGACAGAACAAAGAAATCAAGGTGGGACAGAGCGAAGGGGCTGTCCTGAGATGTGAGACCTTGAGACAGTGGGGTGGAATGGCAGGTAGACTTCCTCGTCCCAGAAGCAGAGGACAAGGGTCCATGTGGCCCAGAGTATGAGGAAAGGCATTGCTATGGACCAATGACTTACTTTTTACCGATCCTGGCCTTTGATCACCTGTTAACTTCCCTAATAACGCCCCCTAATTTTGAGTTTGGTCTGTGAGTTCTGTATGGCCATTGAAAATCTAATAGAAAAGTAGAGTGTAGTGAAAAGATTGGTTGGGGTCAGACTAGGGTAGAGGAAGATGGAAGATGAGGCATGTTTGGATGTTATGTACATAAAAATTGCAATCAGGCCTGGGCTGGTATGAGTTGGATTCTTCTCATCTGTGTAACCAGATGTGGCCTCCATGCTGGATTTGCAGCCTGTTTCATATGTGTCTCATCAAAGTTCCACTTGACCTTATTCTGATACCTTTGAAAGCTTAACTATATGGACAACATATGGTTGCATATGTTTAAAATGTCTACTTATTAGTGTCTCTCTATCATCTATAATTTTTGGAAATAGTTGTAGTGGCACTGTGGGTTGGACACTAGCCTACTAACCCAGTGGTGTTAATCTACCAGCTGCTTGGGGGAGGAGCCTGGCTGCTCCTGTAAAGATTTACTCTTTTAGATACATTAAGGACCAGTTCATTGCACCCTGTCCCAGAGGGTCCCTAGAAGGTGAAATCAGCTTGCTATCAGTGACTTAGAGTGTTTTGGGTGACAAAAGATGTAGTAGAATCAGTTTTCTCACTTCAAGCAAAATAGAACTTCTACTGTGAATGTAGATAAAGGTGGCTGACATGTACTCTCCTGTTACTGGCAACTATCTAGTAGATATTAAATTTTTTTAAATTAGAGCAAACCAAAATGGAGCCTACCTTGTGAAATATTTAAACAGATTTGCTATTTGGGGTTTATCATTATTTTGTTACTTTTGTTTTGTTTTTCCAACTACTACTTACACCCTGTTAAAAATACATCTTCTCTCATTGACCTTTTGAGGGATAGCAGTTAAGAAATAATAAGTTATGGGGTAAAAGAGGTGTGGGTGGGAAGTTATCTGATGACAAATGAAATCTTGCCATCAAATTGCATAAGCTACTTAAAGGACAGGTAAGACTAATCAATTTATTAAAAATAGTTTATTAGCATTGCAATAAATGCACTATAAATTCATTCTTCTCCAAAATAAATACTTCTACTCTCTGTGCCTCCAGTTTGTACATCTTTGTTATTTTCAAAATATTAAAAATTTAGGTGTTCGTGAATTCAAAACAAATAATTTAAGCTAGCTAACTAAAACCAAATGGACAATAAAAATATATTTGCTGCTGCTTCAAATTGCTGAGAACCGAGGACCCAGAGACAGGCCTTTAAGATTTGTCTTGCTCAGAGGCTTCTGTGCCCTCCTTCATGGCTACCGAGCCTTCACTAAGAGAGCCACCTGCAGCAGATCTTTGTCAGAGTTGTGTTGGTGACTGGAGTAGGGTTATGTGCTACAAATGGGAGAATAGGTAGAGGAAAGAAGACCAAAGCTACGGCAAAGAACATGTCATGAAAATATGGAGGAAAGAGGAACTGAAAGGGAGAGTAGAAAAAGAGGATGGATTTTTAGATTCCTGAGAGGGGTACAAAATTGAACATAGGATGAGGAATTTCAAGTCATTGATTTAAATGTAAAATTTTGAGTGATTCTAGAGGGTAAAGCACTCACAGGAACGAGAGTTCCATCTATATTTTAAAATTCAGAAGTATGCATGGGAAAAAAATACAAAATCCAGAAAGCCATTGTTTTTCTTGAAAAGAGATATAAATCATTGTGACAAATAGATAGATGAAGGGTAAAGGGGGTCGTCGCCCCCAAATGCCTGCCTAGCAAAAATCCACAGACAAAGTGCCCTAGGCCTGCCAGGAGGTCCACATGAGCAAACAGACTAGGCACCAGTGACGTGACATCACAAGGTGTGCTTAACTCCACCAATAAGATTGACCAATACCCTCAACCATGCCTCCCCAGCCAGTGGGGATAGAAGGGGCTCAATAAAACATGATGGGGAAGGGCCATCTCTTGCTTCTCTTGTTAGGTTGTGCTCTGCACATAAGCACTTGTGGGCCATCTCAGGCCACATTCTCTTGGCTCTCCTGGGATTTCCTGCTTGTGGCTCCTCACAACGGTTCCTTGCTCCTGTTCTGGTATTCCTTCCTCGCGCTTTTCCATGCTCCCCTGAAACGGCCGTCTTCAGTCATGAACTTTCCCACAGCAAGCCAAACCTAACAATTACATCTTCTGTTTGATTTTTTTTTAACCCCAAATGTTATTTATTTAATATAATCATCACAAGGGTGCAAATGGAGACTTAATTTAAAAACAAACAAAACAGGAATGACACCACAGCTTAAGATAAGAGTTCTACACAGAAATCAAGGGGGAGGGGAGGGAGGACAGACATCTAGGAAGAGAAGACAACACAATGCAAGGACAGGGAGGGTCAGGGCTCTTGGCTGGAGACTTGCTTTGAGTAGGTTTCCTGCAGGTATTGCTTAAAGGCTGTTGGGTTTTCCCAGAGTTCAGCAGCGTGTGTGTTCAAAGGGCTGTCGATGTTGGGCTCTCCCAGCAGGCTCTGGATGGAGAGGAGAATCGTCCTGACGTCATACAGGGCAGACCACTTGTCCTTCAGGATGTCCAGGCAGATGTTACTCTGAGTGTCCACGTTGGGGTGGTAGCAGGGGGTGAGGAACTTCACTGTGGGCGCATTGTAAGGGTAGCCACTGGGGAACTCCAGGGAGAGCTTATACCTCAGGTCTTCATAGACTGTACCAGCTGCTCCGTGGATGGTCCCTATCCACTTGAAAAGGTTGTCTGATTCCGGAAAGGCAGAGATTCCTTTGTCGCCAGACATCATGAGGGTCATCAGCTCCTGTTGTAGCCTCTTGCCCACGGAACCCTGGGCTGCGCCCCCGCTGGGCTCGGCTCCTTTTCGGGCGGCTACGACACTGACTGCGGCTGGGTCGCGGTTTTGGGAGGCCATTCGCACGGTGTTGGCAGACAGGGTCTCGGAAGACTGGACGGCAACTGCAGGGTAGTGTGTCTCTTCTGTTTGATTTTATGTACTTTGAACCTTTACCCAATAAGTAGGAAATAATTTTGTAATAAAAGACATGTCATGTGATTCTATTAAGGTATAGTCATTTTGTGCTTTACAAGAACAAAAATCATCTCACTTATACAAATCCAAGGAGAGAAAACCACGTAAGTACAACTATATAAGTGATCCAAAGTCTCCCTGATATCATCAGACCCACCTAAGAAGTTTAACATCCAAACCTAGTTGTCTAAGCAATCATGAGTCATCTTGACCAAATGTGGGCAGCCCTTTCTTTCTAGGTACCTCTGAGTAGATGTGAACCTCTGATCATTTGCTGTGTGTGTTAATCACGTTAATCATATGCACCACCCCAAAATTCCAAATTGTTCAGTAGATTCCCTCAATCTATTTTTATATTTCTAGGCATCCTGGCTAAAGCACTAGGTGTGAATGATGAAAGCCCTGTTAATATCAGATACCAAGACAGCTCCCTTATAAATATTAAGTATGATATTATAGTGTTTAGTTTATTATGAAGGAAGCAATGCCCTGTCTGCACCATCCTCACAATTGATATATTTTCAAGTCCATTATTGCACGCACTGTGTCAGTCCATCTTGTTGAAGGTCTTCCTCACGTAGGGCATTAGGAATATCTAAATATCTGTGTGTTCTAGAGACTGGTAGAACTCTTGAGATGGTAGCCCTTAAAACCTGTAAAATGAATCCACCCCTGGGAATCAATTTACATATAAACAACAGGCAGGCCTGTACCTTGAATAATGATCATTGTGAAAAATGGACCCCTTAAGATGTAAGCAGCCCCCCAAAAGCTCAGAAGTAAGAAAGTGGGTAAAAAGAAGGAAGAGTGGATATGGAGAACCAGGAAGGATGTGGTAAGAGTACTTTGATGTTGTGGAAATTACAAATACTGTTAGGAAACAAAAATGTGTGTAAACTGTTAAATAGAAAACTAATTTGATCTGTAAACTGTCACCCACACCAAAATCAACCAATCCACAAATATCTGAGTTCACGTCAGCTGAGCACTGGAACAGCAAGAGAGAATAGAGGAAGAATAAGTGTAAAGACAAAAATTAAAATCCACAAAATAAAAGGAATAATAATGATAAAGGAAGGCACACGAGAAATGAAATTAAAAATTTAAACATACATATTTAGCGTGGAAGGGGGAGAAGAAAATAAACATGATTTGAGGGCTTTGATACAGCTGTTGAAGTATTTAGTGAACTAAATCTAATTTTACAACCAATGCTGTTCTTATTTTATAAGAACATAAAGCAAGAGCTATTTGTCCCTAACTTTAGCAGAAGTTGAACTTTCTGACATATGACAGCATTAAGAATCCTAAGCATCTTTGTTGTCATTAATTGAGATATGCAAGCTTTGCTTAGGAATTATAATTCGTCTTGATTTCTTGGACAAAGATGCTTCCCATGAGTTTATTCCATCAACATGTTCTGGCTGGTGCCATGGAGCTGAGTTGGACTCACAGCAACAACATTTTGACAGAATAAATAGTATTCCTTTTTGGACACATAAACTAGAAAAAATGGCCTGATGATTTATTCCAAAAATAGCCAATCAAAATGATCTCCTGCTGTTGTGCCTGGAGTTCCCGGCTTCAATTTTATATCAGCTAAAGATAACACCAATCTCATTCTGGCTGGGATTTTAATACCGAACATTTCCTCCAACTTAGTTGAGACTCTAGAGTTCTATTAGACTGGACAGTTTCGTAGTTCACTTTTGATCTCTTTCTGTATCTTAGTGATATCTGGTAGAAGGAGAGTAATTTGCATTCTCTTTGAAAGTTGGTGTTGGGGGAATAAAGCAGATTAAAGAAGAGATATAAAGAAAAAAGTCACATTTGGAAAGATTTGCCTAGCTCTTTTGTCATCATTGAATTCCACGAAATTTCTTTTTTAAGGTACTATAATTCTTATTTAAAATACTTTCCTGGAGTTAAAAAGAAAACCTGGCCACCAAATAACAACCACGGATGGAGCTTCTGCCAGTACCAGAGAACCCAGCAGGTAGGAGGGAACACAGGCACTCAGCTTGAAAACTAGGAGGAATATATATATATTTACTTGCTTTCTTTTCTTTTCTTTTTTTCTTTTCCTTTTCTTCCTTGGGAATCTCAGAGTGCAATAACACAGAAGAAACCTCTCTGGCTT